GGGGAGCAGGGCTGGGAGGGGACCCGTCCCCGCTGCCAGCGTGGGGCACAAGGGGACACGACAGCCTGCGGGGGACCCTGCTGGGAAACGGGGTCCCTGTGTCCGGCTCCCTTCCTAACCTCTCCAGCTGCTCGTCCCCTGCTACAGAGGGACTAAACCCACGCAGGAGGTGCAGGGCGCCCCGTGTCCCCCTGCCCCACATCCCCTGGCTTTCAGCACCTTGTAGGCCCAACGTGGTATTGGGAGGTGTCCCCCGCCCGGGGAATTGGGATACTGCAGGGCCAATGGGACCGGGCAGGCGGTGGAAGTGCTGGCAGAGCAACAGCTGGTTGATGCCTGTGGCTCCCATGCCCCCAGCTCTGCACGGGGCATCCCGGCACCAGGAGCCCCTGGGTGAGCCGTGGCAGGGTCTGGTCTGCGGCTGGGAACCGGGACACCGTGTCCCACCACCACTTCTAGCCTGCTCTGGCTGTGGGCAATGGCCAGCCCCGTGCCTCAGTTTCCCTGCCCCTCTGCAACGGGGAGGCAGCCGGCTCCCCCGGCCAGGCAGCCGTTGCTGCCCCCCTGCCCAGCGAGAGGAAGAGGAAGGAAGAGGCTGTGCATCCTCCACTCTCTATTTTGGGCTGCCCTGTGCTGCTCCTTTAGCCCAGGTGGAGCTGGGCAGGATGCCTGCCCCATCCCCAGCGGGCTGGCTGGGATGGACTGGGCTGCCAGCAGGGGCCAGGGGATGCTGCTCAGTGCGGGGATGGCTGTGGAGGCCACACACTGTCCCCTCCAGGACCCCTGGCCAAATCCTGCTCTTCCCTCCCCTATAAGCCACGCGCAGGCAGCAGCCCCAGCTCAGCCAGGCCCTGCTTCTTCTTTAATGAATGTAATTAGGAAAGTCTCCAGGCCAGACGGCTGCAGCCGCAGCAGCGGGAGCATTGCTTCCAGGTTCACTGCCAGGCAAGGGACAGAGTGGGCAGCCCGGGAGCTCAGGGAGATGTCGTCCCTGTGGGACAGGCTGGTGACACGGGGCTTGTGGTGACCGAGGTCTCATCCTGTGTCCCCTGCCCAGGCCAGGGAAAGGCAGCCCCCAGCTAGATGTGTGGGCTGTGGGGGGGGGGCACAGGGCAGAAAGGCACCAGGCTCCTGCCAGTGGGCACAAAGTCACCCCACTGTGCCACCCCACTG